TGTAGATAAAGTTTGATATATCGCTAATGATTGATATTCTTCAAGCTTGATTCTGACGAGTTCCTATCACAAATAAGGTCGTATATATGTTGCTCTCTCCCATATTCTAACAAATAAAAATCAGGCATGAAAATTACATACAAAGATAATAATTGTGGAGACAACACTGATAATGCTAAAATAAATTTAAAAAAAAAGGAAAAAAGAAGAAAGAAACTTCTTGGAAAAAGAGTTTCAAATGAAAAGAAGCAAAATAAAAGAAGAAAAATTGAAAGGAGATTATGAATGAAAAAGACAAAAATGTTGTGCAGTGTAAGACATTTGCTTTAGTATTTATAGTTAGTAAAATAATTAGTAACATACGAATATGAAAAGATAGATAACGTACATTAGACTAATTATAATTGAATGATTTTAATTGTGACTATCTTTAATATTTAAGTGATTTTTTTTTTGTATTTTAAAAATTGAAAAATGGTATAAAAAACCACAAAAAAAGATAAATATTTTTCTAGCTCTTAGAGGCATGCCACATTGCGATTCTAGATTCAAATATATATATATATATATATAGATTTTAACTTGCATATGTGAGGTGGAATTTATTTCTTGAAATCATTCGAGTGTTTTGGTGAAATGAATATTTATTTTATTAGAAATGGAGTCAAAATTTGAAATTTATAGATTTTGAATTTGTTATCAAATCAAAGCTCATTTTAATTTATTTTTTCTTTTCAAAATTCATTATTTCATGTTTTCGTCACCACAACGAGAGGTGGTTGGGAGGACCTCTACCGCGTTCATTTAAATCCAAGAAGTTACAACCAAATGGAGGGAGATATAAAACCTAGCCTCGATATTTTTAGGACAAGAACAATCACATCCTATCAATTATGAGAATCGAGAGACCTTATTACTAACAGATGGGATCGTTACATGATCAAGCTATCGCAATCTCTAATAAAGTCCAAATTAATCTCCTTGGGATCTTAGTGAACATTTAACTAAATAGACAGTTATTTCACAATCATTTATATAATTTATTAAATCAAGATAAGTTCTTAATCTAAAAGGGACACCCACCCTGTCCACTTCAACATCCATAATTGAGTTATATTAGGATCACCATCAAATACTTATACGAATATTTAATAAATTTTCTTATATAAATACATAATTTAAGTAAAAGTTATCGAATTCATTTGAATTTGTACCTAGTTTTACCACTTAGCCTCTAAATGTTATTTCTCTATTTTTAACTAGAAATTTTGAATTCAAGTTCTGACACATTATTCCTTAGCTTCTGATAGTAATAGTAGACCCTATGCAGTACGAAATCAAATTAGTTAGATCGCAATGAAACTTGAATTATTGATGCATAAGAAAGCACATGTTTTTTTCTTAGTCTACCTTGATATGATATCATGATATCTAGTGACAATTAGCTAGCTTGTTTGCTATTTATTCTTGAGTCATGTATACATTGAAAATTTATGAAACTTAACAAAATGAGCTTAATTTCAATTAGAATTTTAAGAAGTTATTCTAAATCTCTACCCTAAATTCTAATTAAGATTAAACTCGTTATCGAAGTACTAGACTCTATAACATCTAAGTTTTCTTTTGAACCAATTCAATGTCATGTTAGATCATACCATTTTTATAATAACATTATCATATTAGATCATATCATTTTTATTATAACATTTTGTTATAACACCAAAACAAAAAGACCTAAACAATTAATATTGTTATAAATAGATTTGACTATACGACCTCACTCAATTTGCACATACTTTGAACCAAAATAATAATACAACTTTATCTTATGTCTTGTTAACATCAAAGCTGTTCATTAGCGTGTCACCGTTAAACTCTTTAGGAGGTACTATACATTTTGTATTTTTGTGCTTATTTCTCTAAGGATTAAAATAATAATAATAATAAAAAAAAGAATCAAAGCTCATTTGTCTTTACACAATAATTTGAATTTCTCAACTCTGCTTTCGGTTACAAAAATTTAAAAAGTAATTATTGACTATCAAGGTCGTATTTTGGCACTTAGCAAATAACCAATAAAATTCTTGCGTTCACACACTTAAATATTTTGTGATTTTTTTTATTTATAAATTTTCTCTTATTAGAGAGTTTTAAGTTGAAGCAGATATGTTTTCGTTGATATGCCTGCTTCAACAAGGATAGTTTTGAAAATAAATAAATATATTTTTCTGTTCTACTTTAATTTAATTAGTGTACAATTTTTTTTTGAAATAATGGGACTCGCTTTAGCTATCTATAGTTATAGTTTTATTATTTTGAACATCAGTAAAACAATCATCAATCAATGATGTACTATTTTAACTATGGACATCTCAACGAACCTTTACACCAAAAATATGAGATGATTTACTACCACACAAATATATATTATAATTTATTTCAGAGTAAAAATTATAATCATTTAATCAATATCACTTAAAATTTATAAATATTAATAATATTTATCAAGTATTTATTTTACACTGAATGAGATAATGAAATTATAAAAGCATACATTTAGTTCATGGACAAATCCTATTAATACCCGATTAATAAAAATTATCATAAACTAAACTTTGAAACCTAAACATTTTGGGAAATTCAATCACATCAATGCCTCCACTTCACTTTCCATTGCCAAGTACCTTTGATGAATCTTCCACCTCAAATTTCACTGAACTTCTTTTCCTACATCAATAGAAAATCAACATTTGTAAATAGTAAATATAAATCATTGTAGAAATAAAATCACACATCCTCTATTTCATTATATATGACGATGTTTGACAGATACGAAATCAAAAAGAGAGAAAACAACCTTAGATCTTGTCGTCTTAAATATGTATAGTACCAGGACATTTTATAACTAATTTGAACATGTTACAGAATTTTCAAACATAAAAAAGCGTTATTTTGTTTGTTACGTATAACAAAAAAAAGAGTAACGTATAAAACAAAGATTAGTGATTATACTATAAAAAGAGTAACGTATAAAACAAAGATTAGTGATTATACTATAAAAAGAGTAACGTATAAAACAAAGATAAGTTCATACTAGCTAGTAACTTTACAAGGGGGCACATTTCAACAACATATATACCCAATATAATTTTATAAGTGTAGACGTGGAGTTTGATGAGGGAAGGATGTAGCAAATATTACCCTTACTTTTGCTGGTAGAGATTCAAGTTATTTTCGATAGATCTTCAGCTCAAGAAAATTATTTTTTTGAACAGATTTAAAAGAAATGCAAGAAAAAAAAACCTTTACTGGAAATATTGAAAAAAGAAAAGTATCGACAATGAAAATAGTAAAGATAATCAAAGTAAAAGAAACAACAGTTTTACTAACAAAATTGAAGAATACAACACTATTTTTTTTTGGTTTCCCATCCGATGTCCCAACTAAATTCAGATCGCGCACTGCAAGGTCCATTCGGGGGTGACGCTCCCAACGGGATTTTCTCCATATCGGAGGCTCAAATCCGAAACCTATGATTAAGGGTTAACAATCCCACTACTGCACCATGAGGCTCAAATTTGAAACCTATGATTAAGGGTGAAGCAATCCTATTACTCCACCATAACCCATATTGTACGGCTAATATGATAATGCTAGTAGCTAGTGCTTATTATAAAATTCAGATTCAACACAAGTACAATTACTTTGTCAAAATTCTTCGATATAAATTACCAAAAATGATAAATAAACACCACTTTTCAAATTATGAGAATATAATTATGATGTTCTAAATTGATATATATGCTAATAATAGAGGGTGCAGGCACCACATAATGGTGCATATTTCTTTTTTGTATTTATAGATAAAAAAAAAAGAGAGATAAGCTATTTACAGCTGATTCCAACTTTATAGTTCGTACATTTGATTCCTCTCTTAATTTACCTTTAGAAACATTGACGTTAACATGAAAAAATATATGATATTGTAGATCTTATCGCTAAATAGCTCATAGTTAATCTGATTGTTTAACATCGTTAACATAAACGATCCTGGCCTTGTTTCTTTATTTGTTTACAATGTTAGATTTATAATCTTGAAAATAAAATAAGTTACTTAATCAGCGGGAGAACTAGGTTTTTAAAAAAAATAAAGTTGAATAAACACATGAAGAAATAATAATCATATTTTTAAGTTGAAACCAAAAGGACAGTACAATTATTACAGCAAATAATAAACACACACACAAAAAAAAAAAAAAAAAAGCTATAAGGAATTCATTTTAGATCTTATATTGCTAAAATGGCTCGTAGTTAACATGATTATTCAACGTCGCTGTCGTTGTTTAATAAGACTAGTGATAAATTTTTTTGTTGTTTACTGACACAAGTTGTTTATCGTTAATTTATGATTTTCTTGTAATAAACACAATACAATTTTTTTTCTTTTTAATCTTTAATTTTTTACATAATCCATCGGTTACTTTTTTCCTTCTGTGCTCGTTTAAAATGTGAGATTTATAATCTTGAAAATAAAATAAGTTACTTGTTCAGTGACGAAATTAGGGCTTTCATTAAAGAGATTCAAAATATGACTAAGTAAGCACACGAAGAAATCAATAGGATTCAACAGCTAAACCCCCTTGTAATACCCTAGCTCCGCCCCTATACTTGCTACAACGTGATGTAAATATGATCTGATGATATAATAATTTCATACTGATGACGTGTATAACTTAAACCGTTACCTAACTAGGAATGATATCATCCATGATCACTTAGAACTCTTTTTCTCCTCAACTAGAAAAGTAAATGAGAAAATTCCATACTCCACCTATATATAGCACTACAAAATCAACTCATTTTTCTCCACAACTACACACCTCTCACATTTCTTCATTTTTTTTTGTTACAAAAAATAAATAAAATGAAAGATCAATTTCATGAATTAAACTTTAGGGAATTTATGGATGAGTTAACAAAGCAAGAACAAAGTTTTTTTCAGAAAAAAGCAGCTGAGAATAATAATGAGAAATCATATGTTACTGAAATTTTTGGTGAGCTTTATTTTAAAGAAAATAATGGTGAGTACTCATTCATAAAAGACTTTTTTCCTCCAATGCCAAAAAAAAGTTCTAGTGAAAATAATGCTAATTATAAAGCATCTATTTCTCAAGCTGAATTTGAGAAAATTAATTTCAGTGAGAAGCTACCAAATGGTGATGATATTGTTGTCAATTATGTGAATGATGAGATGCAAAAAGGTATTATTTTCTTCTTCTTTTTTCTTTTTGTAAGTATGTTTGGTACGATAAAAGTCATTTTTTAGGGAAAACATCTTTTAGGAATTTCTTTCTTTTTCAACTTTTTTGAAAAACTCTTTTTGATGGAAATGATCTAGCTCTACTGTATTCCATAAAACTAGGAGTAAGATATGCATATATTCTATTCTCTCCAGATCCCAATTGTAGGATTACATCGAATATATTGTTATTTTTGTTGTTGTTGTTATTGTCTTTTCAATAGAAAGTAAGATATGCGTACATTCTACTCTCTCCAGACTTACTTGTAAAATTGAAGCGAATATTTTGTTGTTGTTGTTGGTATTGTCTTTTCGATGGGAAGTACTAATTTTCCTGGAAAATATATTTGGTAATTGGACCACTACTAAAAACACATGGTATTTCTGATGGAAAGTTCATCAAAAATATCTCTGACAAGAAAATTTTGAATATATATGTTTTTAAACAAATATGTATATAATGTCAACAAGTTCTATAAAAAAAAGTACCATAAAATGACTTTCTGATGAAAAACATTTTTCTTGTAAAAAGGATTTATATGTTATATCAAATACACTCTTAATTAATTACATGTGTCTACAATAAAATAATGGATTTTTTCTTTTTAATCTTATTTTTATTTGGCTTTTTTATAGCTCTTATGAATTGTGATGCAGGTAAAGGAGGAAAAAAAATCAAATGATGCTTAGAAGGAAGATCTTAGCTAATGTTATTAATGTGTTGCATGTTTGTATCTTGTCTTCATTAAGTTAAATAAACATCATCAATATCTTTTTAATGCATGTTTGTAACTTTGGCTTTATTAAGTTAAATAAACATCATCAATATTTTATTGATGTGTATTGTTCAATTATTTTTATCTGATTTAAGGATCTATAGTTCAGTTATTTTTGTTTGATTTTAAAGTGGAATAGGATAAGTTTCAAATTACTTTTACATCTAATTAAGTTATAATTTTGCCCACATATATATATATCATTTAAAGTTTATGAGTTCTTATAACAAACTCAAATTATACAAAAGTAATAAAAATTTACAATCAAACATATATAGATATTAGTTTTGATTTTTTGAAGTGAGTGAAAAGGTTATTTTTATGGCTACTCTACACAATTATACATGAGATTATAATTTATTTATTTATTACAAATATGTATATATAAGATCTAAATAAAAGTTAATAATTATTGTGACTATATATATTCTGATCTAGATCCATCTGCCTATGTAATTTATCTCAAATCCATTATTTTTCAATATATAACTGAATTAATCTGATTCCAAAACGAATTGTAAATACAAAGTTACTAACCCCAAAGAAGATTTTCCAGTTGAGAAACATTATAAAAGCTGACTAGGATTAGTAAGACTGACTGAGATCCGATGTGTAAAGTTTCGAAATAAGACAAAGTTTGTTACTTTTTGGTCAAGTAGGTGAATTATACGTATCAAAATTAGGGGGTGGGGGTGAGGGTGTGGGGTGGGGTTGTGGTGGTGGAAAATTTGTACATATCTTCGAATTATCATAAATGGTATGCGTATACTCTTCGTTATACTTTTAGAACATCAGTATTTTTACCGTTCAAATTTTGGAGTGTATATATCATTTATTATACTAACGATGGGATACATGTCTCAATCTTAACAGCTGACCCGATATTTATTAAATTTGACACACATATCCCACCGTTAATATAAAAGGAACATATGCTCCAAAATTAAAACGGTAAGATCGACATTGATGTTCTAAAAGTACAACGAAGGGTATACACATATTATTTAAGATAGCTCAAAAATATATTTCTCCTTTTTCCGTTAAAAAAATCTTATCTATGAGTAATTTAACAACAAATTAATAATGAATTTCGTAGTAATTTTTTTTAAAAAAATTGTGAAATGAAATACACATATTTAAAGTTTTCCAACTCTTTTGCACAAATCAGGACCAGCAAGAACTAACTCCTTTGCACAAATCAGGACCTTTCCAGCAGGGAAGTCCAATAAACGAGAAACTACGTAATTATATATACTCAACTATCAGATATACTATTATATATTGAGAAAGATACACCATATATTTTTGCTACCAGATATACTGAAATAGGAAAAGAGGCGAGCAGGATGGTGAGGAAGGCGAGCGAATTTTTTTGTTATGTATCTTAGATACATGTGAATCACACTAGATTTGTATGTATCTAGTTGGATTCGAATGTATCTGAAATATCAGATATCAGATACATAAGAGAGTGGTGAGCGAGATGTGTGAGAGACGCAAATATGGCCTAACAATTGATGTCTCATCCAATTGGCCCAAATTTCTGTGAATTGGACATAAAAATAACCGGAGACTTGACCTAACTTAGGATCCCGACTCAACAATTTTTGTCTGAAGTTCAAGCAACATTAATGAGTAGAATCGAACAAAAATGGCTAATTGAGTGAAAAAAAAGGTTGAACGGCAATTATATGAACTTTAGTCACATGTACTTGAACTTCAGTCTAGCTAGTAGCCAGTTACGAGTTAGACCAAACTCGTAAGTGTTTGCCCAAATAACTTATATTAATAAATTCATTAAATATGTATATATGTCGAAAATCTAAATGCGGATATTATATTTTCAAGCCTAACTTTTTTTTTTGTTCATCCTTTTTTTTTATAATTTGAAAATAGTATTGAAATGTCATTTTAATGAAAATGACTAATTACTCCTTGCATAAAGTAAAGTAATCTTCTTATTTGGTCAAAGAAATTTCTAATGGTCAAATTATTATTAAATATAAATCTAGTCCAACTCATTATACTAATATGTAAGTAGTTTGCAATTAATTACAATCACGCAATGTACATTTCTCATTTCAAAAATATTATTTATAGGTTAATTAATATGCTTCAAGTTATAGACGATATAGTCCTAGTAATTTAAAATTACATACTTACCTCTTTATACAATAGAAACTTTAAATAAATATAGCTTGAATAATAATAATTGTATATTACAAGAGCATTAAGTGTTTAATTTTAAAAAAACATGAATTATACCACCAAGCTAAACCAGTATTTAATTGGTCATAATTAACTAAGGTTAAATTTCCATTAAAGAAGCTATTAAAAAGGACAAAGACAGTAAGAATAATATACCAAACGTCTAAATATTTTAGAATAAGAGAACTACAATATAATAGTTTTTGTAAAATGATTAAACTTTAAATTGAAGTTTAGGAATAATTATGGAATAAAATATGATGCATCATGTGTATCTAATTTAGCTTCACAAGTTACTTAATAAACATTCTTTTATGATAATTTATTTTGTTGATTTTATTGAATACATACCGGAATAAGACTTCCAGGTTATCGAGGACATGAAGCTAAATAAGAAGATATCGAGGTTTAAAATTAGAGTAGAAAGTTAATTATTAGTAGGTAGTTGAGCATTGTCTAATTTCTTTATCAGCAAAATTATTATTCTCCTAATATCTTAGTCTTTTATATTAACATGGTGTCTCCTTTGTTCCAATTTTCGTATTACTTGTTGTTGATACTGTTCTTTACTTCATTGTTTTGGACCCAATGACATTTGTTATTGCATTTTCTTTATTACTGTATTTTCTTTTCAAACCTACTTTGATATGTTTTACTTAAGTCGAGGATCTATTGGAAACAACATTCTACCTTCACAAAGATAGAAGTAAGATATACATAACTACCACACTCCCATGATTAAAAAAAAAAATGAAGAAATAAAAACCTAATCAACCAAACCAAAATAGTTACAATTTAGTTTGATCTTAATAAAAACTGAATCAACTGGCTCAAATACACTTCTACTTAAAACCTTAAACTCGAAAATTGAATGTGGTTACACAATATAATTAGAAACAATAGAATGAGGATGCTATCTTATTTTAAAATTATTATTGTCTAAATATTTTTATTATTATATTGTAAGCTAGACTGAATATAATTTTTTGTGATTTTCACACCTTAACTATTAAATGTTTCCTTCTTACCTAAACTTGTATTAAAACACGTTTAGTTTAGTAGATGGTGATATATGGTTCAAGTAAAAAAAAAAACTGATATTTAGTTTAATCATATTCGATGTGTATTATAATATATAAAATTATAATAATTTATATAGGAAAAAGACAATAAATAATTGAAGGGTAAAACTCACAAAAAAATGAAAATTTCAATGTGTTTTTGACTATTAACTAAACATATATAATATGTCTTTAAAATATCTTTAACTCTTACGAGCGGCTTATTTCGAATATACTTTGATTTAACATCCTAATTAATCTTTAACATACTTACCATTAAGACATTAATATCACATGGATAGTAAAAGCAGTCACACAATCTTTATTCATAATTCAATCATATTACATAAATCTATTTACATTTTATTTTGGCTATATATATCATCCCAAAATCATTTTTTCAATAAACAAACATATCATTTTTCATTTTTTTTCTTTCTCCAAAGAAAATCATGAGTAGAGAATATAAGTATGTTAGCCTTAGTGACCTTTTGAAAACAAATCCAGTCCAACTAACAAAATTCACAAATGCAGCACCAACTTTTTGTATGCCTTCTCCAGAGCAAAAAATTGAAGAAACTAGTGGTGATTACTCACTTTTTATTTGAATTTAAAAATAAATAAATTTAATTTTCATTATATTTTGTTTTTACCATCCAAGGGTATGGTCAAATGGTTAAGATTTTGTCACTCTTAATCAGATGTCTCGAAATTTGAACCCTGAAATGAAGTACTCTTTTATGATGAGTGTTCGAAACTTCCCCCTCCCCCTCCCAATTTTCATTAAATATTGTTTTTACCACTCCAAGGGTACGGTCAAATGGTTAAGATTTTGTCACTCTTAACCAGATGTCTCGAAATTTGAACCCTGAAATGAAGTGCTCTTTTATGATGAGTGTTCGAAACCCCCCCACCCCCCTAATTTTCATTAAATATTGTTTTTACCACTCTAAGGGTACGGTCAAATGGTTAAGCTTTTGTCACTCTTTAACCAGATGTCTCGAAATTTGAACCCTGAAATGAAGTGCTATTTTATGATGAGCGTTTGAAACTCTCCCCACCCCCACCCTACCCCGCTTAATTTTCATTAAATATTGTTTATACCACTCCAAGGATACGGTCAAATGGTTAAGATTTTGTTACTCTTAATCAGATGTCTCGAAATTTGAACCTTGAAATGAAGTGCTCTTTTATGATGAGTGTTCGAAACTTCCCCCTCCCCCTCCCAATTTTCATTAAATATTGTTTTTACCACTCCAAGGGTACGGTCAAATGGTTAAGATTTTGTCACTCTTAACCAGATGTCTCGAAATTTGAACCCTGAAATGAAGTGCTCTTTTATGATGAGTGTTCGAAACTTCCCCCTCCCCCTCCCAATTTTCATTAAATATTGTTTTTACCACTCCAAGGGTACGGTCAAATATTCCCCTTTTATGACACCCCACAGACCCCCCCCCCCCCCCCCCCTTTAAAAAAAATATAAATCTAAATTAATCAGACCAATGAAATTTAGATTGTTTATTGTTTTGTTTTTCTTCTTTCTTATAATTAAATTCATTTTTTTCTTTTCGTGTATTTTTTTCTCTCTCTAGAGAATGTGAAAGCGGAGGAGGAGGAAGAGGTGGAGACAGAAAATGAAGTGGAAGAAGAGCCAAATAGCAAGGGGAAAAGAATTATCAAAGGGAGAAGAGGAAAACTCAAGATTATGTACTTGATGAAGAAGGAAAAGAGGCAGCTCATGAAGTAGAAAAATCATGAATTAAGAATCTATGTTTTTGTCATTTTCATCAAATTATTGATGTTGTTTAA